CCCCGTAAAATACGCCACTGCATCGATGGAACTCTGTATTCGTTTCTGACCTGCACATCGAAATATGTTTGCAGGTACAGCCAAGAAACCTGCACTGAATAAACCATGTTTTCTCAAGACAATTTCATGTCCCCGTCTTTCCTCCCAATATTGCATCAATTAGGATGCATGTGGCCATGAAGCGCTGGTTGTTTTCAGCTAATTTAGTAAATCATCCAGAAAAGGAACGCGTTAAAGTAACGCCACATACTTTTCCCATGAAAAAGGAACTAGTTACCGGTTCCGTTACCCTCCCCTGAAAAGTAACTCGTTACCTCAAAAGTTACTGAAAAAAGTAATTAGTTACTGTAACGCTTTACTTTTATTTCGTTACCGCCCAACACTGGGTATCAATATAGTGAGGTATTTTTGGAGCAGATACCCCTTTACCAGCAGCTTGATGATTTGACACCAATAACAATTTTGAAAAAAGGGAGAATAAAGGGGAGTATAGATGCACAATTGATGTTAGGAGCAGGCCTATTTCACCACTGGTCTTACTGAACAAGTACTTGGGAGATTAATTGTTCGTTTCTCGAAGATGATATATTAACAACTGGACCAAGTCCAGTGCAGTAGGGTAAAACCATATAAGTTTGGACATCATAGAATAAATTGTGATAAAACAAAGCGTTTACGAGATCACCCTCAGAAACAGCTCTTGCAAGAACTGTTTTGGAGGGAGAGTTCACCAATGATTGGTTTCGTAACGATATGAGATAGTGTCCGAATTTGGATGGCATTACCCCAGCAGACCTCCTTCACATGCTGTTGGGAACAGGAGGAGTGCATGAGAGGTAAGTAATGATTGAAAGACAGAAGATTATGACACAGCATTGCACAAGTTCATGTCTGTTGTAGCGTACTGCCCCTCTCACAGTTAGCAAATAATGGATGTCCACTACTGAGGGAACTGACAGTTTTGGACATAAAGACATGCTAACAGAGGCGCAGCTGTCCCTTTCCCCCCCCCCCCCCCCCTTAAAAGTTGGGAGAGGTATAATAAGTGAAACAAGGCATAGGGAGTCTTTGCTAATCCTCTATTATCAAGAGAAGAGCAGGCATTATGTTTTCCCCCTTCCTTGTGGCCTGAGTGGTGGCAACAACTTGACCCTGACAGAATGCTGTGCATGCACCTTGAGGTCAAAATGCAAGAAGGCTGGGAGATGCTCATGCCCTTTATGCTGTGAGCAATTTCAAAATTGTACATTCCTAATATTTTTTGCATAAATTTTACCTCAAATTAGCAGCATATTTCTTGTTCTAATTATATGCCAATATTCAGCGATTTCAATTTTTTTTACATTATCATTGGACAATAAAAATGAGATAGAAAGACTGAAGACAGAACTAAAAGCAGCTTCCTTCCTTTCAAACTAGGAGGCCTGCAAAAAAAAGCAAAAAATGGACAGCATTATTTTCTTTCTTTATGTTCATATTTTCTGAACTTGATTAAAACCAAAATTACTGGGTCATATTTTGATGTAAAATGGTTACAAATACACATGCAGCCTATGTTGGCCTTGGAGTCATCCCATTGCAGTCTTCATCTAAACCTGAATGTTAATATGAGGAATGTTAAAAAAATTATTGTATAATACTGCAATCATAGGGTGAATAATTTGAAGGATTACAGTATTAACATTTTGGAAATGCCATGTATGCTGTAAATAAAATACTAGTTTCAATAACTTTTTGAACACACCTCTTGATTCCAATCTCCTATATGTATTCAGTCCTGAAGCTTCAAGAGTACATATGTGATGCATTACTCACTGTCTCTATGGTATGTCATACATGACAGACAATAAGGGAAGGATTTATTCTGAGATGATGACCTTCACTCCATGCAGTTGTGATGGATGAATCCCCAGAGGAAATGATACAATAGCAAGCAGGGATGACAATAATTCTTTAGCAACAGGATTACAATTCCTTTATTCTCTAAACTGACACCTATTGGATCATTTGAGCCAGAGTTTCAGTCTTAAGGCATCAACCCCATTCAGATAGTACCGAAAAAGTCGTTTATCTCGTACAAAACCCAAATTTTCATAAAGCCTAAGTGCAGGCTTGTTGGTGATTTCTGTCTCAAGCACAACCTCATCTGCTTTATGAGAAATCATAGCCTGAATGGCATTCAGGACAAGGCTGGTACCAATCTTCTGTTTCCTGTATGCCTCATCCACAGTCAGCATTGCTATGTATCCACGGGAGATAAGTTTTTTATGAACATCTAGCTTGCACACAATGGCACCAACACAGTGTTCCTGATGCATTGCCAAAAAGCACAAATGGGGCCAATTATGAATGAAATATCTATAGGTATATATGGAGTAAGGCTCAGAAAGATCTTTCTGAATGAGCCCCATAATGGCAGGCATTTGCAGCTCATTCTGATATGAGACATAACAAATGTCATCAGGGCCAGGGCATTTCATCTGGACATTTGTTGAGAACTCTTTGGCAAGACCATTGAGGAGAGGTTCATCCGACTCAGGGATCACAGCCATGTGATGAGAACAGCCACCTCACCCCCTTCTCCTCTGTCAACAGACAAACATGAAAATTGAGTTAATGTGATGCTGCATTATGCTCATGCCTTCCTAATTACTATTAACCATGCCTCCCCCTTGCCAGGTGCTCTCTTTCTTCTTAGCATTATGACTTTTCCACCTCAAAATTATCCACTAGAGATTTCTTTCTTCTGTCAGACCTGAATCAGTAAAATTTATCTTTAAAGCACCATAGAGAGAAGATGGCTGCCCATATCACATGGCCTTGGATTTACACGTTAGTCTGGTTGCATGCATAGGAAGATATGCTTCAGCATCATTCACAGAGCATCCAACACAAAAACATGACAGTGAGATCATGAGAAGCCAAGAATGCACAGGATGAAATCATATTTAGTTCCCCCTTGCCCCTCAATTTTGTAAAAGTTCAAAGCACATAAGTAAATGAAAGATTTCCATTGAAAAAGCTACCAACCAGGAACATTTAATACATACTTTAAAATTGTATAGTCTGTGAACAAGACTGCTGATAATGAAACTATTGGAAGAACTTCCAATTCCTGCAAGATGATACAGACTAGGCCTTCTTCTGCAGACAATGGAGTTGCAAAATATTTGGCAAATTGACATTAAAAAAATTAAAAATAAAAACATTAGTTGAAAAAGTGTCTTTTTCTAAACAGAGAAACAATAATTATGCAAATAAGGACAGTTGCAGAAAAAATGTAGATTTCTACATGAAGAGAGTGATTATGAATTAAGATTCCCAAGTCAGAGCACTATAGCACCAAAGTTGTAAAAGGTATAGGATGGTGCCATTGTACATATACAACAAGTGGAAAATAGGATATTAATTCCATTGCTTACCAAATCTTTGCTAGAGGGTGCAATCATTCCATAACAGCAGCATATAAAAATCTTGCAACATGGGGTACCAAGCATAACTTCCATTGAAGGCATGTGATTTAAGTAAGAAAGCTTCAGTATCCTAACTCTCCCTACGCTCCTGTTGCTTTTATGTTACTAATTAGTCTGTAGAGCAGTACCAGTGGCTTACTTACACAATTGTTCCTATTTTATTTCTGGGTAATAATCAACATTATCCAATGGTGGTACCCGTGTGAGATTGATTGACTACATTGACTACACATGAATGCTGAACAAATTACAACCCTAGCCAAGAACTTTCATTATGCTTCTTTCATTTTTTATATCCCCAGTATTCCAACACTTATCAGGCATTTTATCTATGTATTCGAAGGGCTTGAGTTTTTCAGATTTATGAATAAAGGCACTGAGTAATGCTGATCTCTATGTGGACTTGGGTCCATATTTACTTTGGTTGGGAGCAATTAATAAATGCACTTATGGAAATGATGAAGTTCATATTGCCTCTGGTGAGAACATTCTTCCTGCATGTGGTCATCGGTAGCCTGACCCACACCTTGAAAGCATCATACTCATTACCAAAAATAAAGCACCTCCAAGAATAAGTTAAGTAATTGAGATAAAATTCAGTGCACCAGCTTATAACAGTGTGCCATGAAAGAGACTAGTTTCAAAGACATAATTAATGTATTTCAATGACCGCATTCCTTCCAAGGGTGTTGTCAAACGTCAGATGCGTCACTTCCTTAAAGGGTAATGAAGAATATTGATTCTAATTGGGGTTGTCACAATGCTTGGTCGAGGGCATCGTTGGTTTTATTGTGCTTTACGAAGCATTTGCGGGCAGACAAGGAAAGCATTAAAAATTCGTGTGTGCACGCTTGCGATGATAGGATTCATCTGAGTTGGAAAAACGATTGAAAAAAAGGAACAAGGCGTTGAGATGACGGAAGTCACTTCAGCGCGGGGCAAGATAAAATATTGTGAAATAGTGGAAACGGAATTTGAACACCAAGGGTGGATTTTTGAACAGAGCATTATCCGATAATGCAGCTTTATTTACCGGATTTATAATGCATTTTCTCAGAAATAAAGCTGCATTATCGGATAGTTCTCTGTTAAAAAATCCACCCTAAATGATGACAGCCCATTCGATTTCTGAAAAAGCTTAAAATGAAGTAAATTAATTTCGGGATTCGGCCCAAACATCACTGCGTAGATGTGCAACTACAAATTCATTAACCTGTACGATTCACGCCTTTAATTTGAATTGTCGTCCTTCCGTTCTCAGAAAAAAAATTAGTAGCGGCTCGTGTGACGTTTCCTTGACCGGCTCACTTTTCTAAAGTGAGTTGCTACATGTAACTGGCGTGACCTTCACGTTTGACCGCCTATCTTTGTGCCTTTCCAACCTCGCTCTCTGGTCGTGTGCTCATGATATCTTTCTGCGTCCCCCACCCTCGGGGGAGAGGGGGATGGAGAGAAGTAGAGAGATACCATCATGAGCAGGGGTTTGGGCGGTGCGCTTCGGAATGTCGAAAGAAGAAATGTCGACAAGAAACTAGTCGACGGCAGAAATGTCGATGGAGAGAATGTAGAAATACAGCAATGTCGAGAGAAGAAAAGGCAGATGGATTAAATGTTGAATGGGACTTTTTAATGCACTCGTTAGGCGGAGCACTTTTCGGTCAAAATTTTCCATGGATTTCAGGAAAACAATCGTTCAAAATAATGATTGTAAAGTTTGATCATCGTAGCAGTTGGTCATTCAATATTTCACATTGTACGCAATCGCACTCAAGAAGTTATTGACGTCTCTGTTTCGATATTCCAGGGTACCGTATCCGTTGATGATGGGTTTCTTCCACCTTCCTCTTCTTTTTCTGGGGAATTCCAGTTTCCAATTTTCCTATTTCCCGACCTGTGTATTCTCCTCCTGGAGTTCTTGGATCATGAGGAAGACATTAGGATGGGTTTTCAAACAATACTAGAAAATCGTCAATGCCACCTCTCTATGGAAAGGGACCTCAGGACTTTCCAGTTACATACAGTGAAGTTCGAATAGCTCCACCAGTCCCTTCGTCGCCTCTTTCGAGGAGCATATCGTTCAACTAAGTCAAGTTTGCACACTCCCATGGAGGGATCAATCTGTGAGAAATCACATCTTTCGACATTCGACACGAGTCGACATTTCCTCTTCTTCGATGTTTTAAAATTCTGGTTCCATTCCATGACATCTACATCCTTGCCCTTCGACATTACTACCTTTCTGCGTTCCCTCATTCGACATTCCGACGTACACCCGGGTTGGGGGGGGGGGGGGGGGGGGGGGGAGCCCCCCCGAAGGAAGGAACGACCATCTGCTTAGGTCTTATGCCGTTCTAAGAGGGTTTATCTTCTCCTGTTTTATTTTATTAGGAATTTTGTCCCCGAATGAAAACTTACGAAAACTAAATGGATTTCAAGTAGCGGAATTCGTGAGTTGTGGGAAAGATTTGGAGAAGCTCGAAGCATGAAAGATCACTAGATGCGGTAATGTAAGCGCTCCGAGGCGCACGAAAGGATTAGCAACTCTCGTCTCGTACGACCAGGAAAATCATTCCGAGGCTGTGTTTTTTCATCGGCGACGAACGCTGCTGAGATTGTCGTAACATAGCAGCTCCCAAACAAGCATTCCCAAGAAAGATTACTTATAAAAAGTACCGAATATGCCTGTTGAATGAGGGAAGTTGAATTGCCAATAATTTTTTTTATAGGTTACATGGTCAACGTAACGACTCAAATACAATGGCCCCTATGCAAAAACCTATCTCTTGATGGCCTATTACATGGTAAATATCTTGATAAGTATCAGGCAATAGTCCTATAATTTGCTGGGTTCCGTATGCAAGAAAAATTAATAGGTACCCATTGTGAGACCTATTTTGATACCTATCTTCATACCTATTACGATAGGTATGAAATACCAATCATGCTACTTATCATGATAGGTATAAAATGTCTCTGCATATGGCCAACTTATCAAACTTATAAAACTTATCATATGATAGCTATCATAATAGTTCAGTTTTGTACTTTCTTGCATACCAGCCAGTGTATGATATAATTGGACTCCTAGAAATTTCTTTTGTGGCCGCAGCAGCATTCATAAAGTTGACATATTTCATTGATGCATGAAGGTCACGATCGCAGTTTCTTCCTTACTCAACTTGACAACGTGTAACGCACGAGCCTTTATATCCTTTCTTTGAGATGAATGCATGGGACGCCGACTCCCGCGGAGATGATGACCTGTCACAGTCGGCTGCCTTTACAGAAACTGTCTCAATGGTGGCGGAGGGCAAGGACAGGGGATGTGCCACTCTGGTGACAGACTGCGATTTTCCCGTCCATCGAGATCTTTCTTGCAATTTCCAGCGGATTTCTGGCATGGAGAATGGAGACCTCCCATTTTTCCACGCTTATTTAGGTAAAGTGCTACCGAGTGACGTCATGCATCACGGCCATGCCCTGCATTTCACTTTGACGTCATGCACAGCGTTTTACTTTCACGGGACGCGCCGGACAGGGTGTCATGCAACACGGAGAACTTGAAAGTAGTGAAGACTTTCTTGCCCAGATTACGACAGATGCCGAAAGTGTCCACCGTCCATGGTTAAGCAACGACTTAAACGTACCTCGAAGGCATCAAACCCACGATGAAAATTCTGTGGTGGAATTCGTACCCATTCTGACTTAATTCGCATCTTCTACCCTCCCAAGGAATTCGAACGCGTTGCGTAAATCGTAGATTTGAGGAAATAAGTAATTTCCCTTCATTGCCTGACATCACTTTGTATTTCTCAAGGACGACATAGTCACGTCACCGAAGGCTCTGTTGACTCTTCAGGCCTAGTAGGACTATTGTCCCCCCCTTCTCTTTTACCCCCTCTCCTGCTTCATTTTTATTTGCCTAATCTGACACCTTATAACGCAAATTTGCACATAAGATAACTTTCAGAAGCTCTCATGGCTTTCTTTCGGTAGTTCTTCACTTTAATGAGAGAGAATGAACACCCAAGGGTACTTTCGTCTCTATCTCCGCCCAACATTTCTCCTCTAAACTAGCAATCCCAGAATTTGATTATCTCCAGAGGCTCAACTGGACCTGAAATCTGATGGAATTAGAGGGTTGCTGCTCCGGATAGCCAAGGCGTCACAGTGGCCACGCCGTTTAATTGATGATACTTAACCCTGCCCCCTTTTACTTTCGCGTTTGTCATACCTGGGTCCCTGCGATACCCGGAAGTTTTTTCCCTTTCACTGGTTTACGCCCTAAATAGAGGATGCAAGTTTGCTCACATTTGACTCATTTTCTTCTTTCTTCTTCCTAAGAGGGCAAACAATAACTTAATCCCACATTTATAAAGCAATGATCCTCTTTCATCGAGGAAAAGAAAGTAACAGGGTAATCTGGAAGGCGATGAAATAATTGAAGCATTTCGTCTGCAATGGGGCTTCAATGGCCTAACTAGAGAGGCATTATATAGACTGCTGAGGAATGAACAGAAGCAGTCGTTCGTCTATAAAAATCAACAGACTCCGAGCATCAGCTTGCCTGGATGAATTCGGCATTCTTCAACCCAAGATGTCTGGCTTACGTAAGAGATCATATGGCTTTATTCCTTGTCATCAAATTCCTTGTCATCGACATTCAGTACTTTATTGCCGGATGTACATCCGGCAATAAAGTTCTGAATGCCGTTCTCCATCAAAGCTTAAATTGGAAATGGAAGACACCTTGTCACAAGATTTTGACTTGAATACAAAGACGTGAAAAGGTACCTCATCGATTCCCATAGCCTCAATCCCCTCTCTGTTCCCACGGTAAAGACGCAGAAGGGACGAAGGAACGTCAAGTGTATTAATCCGGGCATAAACACTCCGAGAAAATAATTTCATGACCTTTCTCAATCCCCTTCAGAAAGCCAAGTGTTCTATCTCCTTTTTTTTGCCAAATGTGTTTTGGCTTGGAATTGTTAGTCCAATAATGTACTTCCGTTTGTCTAGGGCAAACGTGCTCGACGGCTGGAAAGCTCCATGTAAACAAACTCAAATGAAGTAAGGTGCAAGTTGCAGTCCCACACGATAAAGCAATAATTAGGGGAGCAAGAGTATTCTCACTCTTCCCTAGCAGGAGAATAAAGCTTCAGCTTTGTCCAGACTCAAGTTCCCAACTTCCAACGTCGAGGTGGAACACCTGGGTTCTTGGCACAAAACTTTGAAATTATTCCGGATTGTTTCTTAAGGTAGAGTACTAATCCCTACCCCAATTTTATATTACTATTTATATCATAAATACACAGGATTCAGGCATGGTATTTTCCTCTCTGGTAGTCGCCGCTGGAAGTTTTCTTTCATGATTTCACATATTTTCCGTGACAGTTACTTCCTGGGATTCGTAGGAACCTTGCATGGACGACGAAAATCTTGGGGGCATACACCATGTCTCCGTATTTCCCCCCCCCCCAATCAGTCAAGGAAAATGTTTAAAAAATCGATCGCAAATGAAGGTATACCGAGAAAGGAGTAAATACATGTATATAGGAGAAGTAAATAAGTAAAAATAAATTGGATTGCTCATCTGCGTTATGCAGGAGAGTGCATACCGAAAGGGCATTATTGGACATTCTTAATATGCAATAAAGAGGTTTACCAATAAAATGTATGCCCTACTTTCTTCAACCTGTCACAAATTTCTGCATATCATAGCTGATTTCAAAACTGGGTTCAATCGCAGTTCAGTTTCAGTTTTAGTTCCAGTTGAGATTTATTAATGATAGAAGCTGATAAGAGCACTGAAGAACTTCAGTCAGATTAAAGTCTAAACGGAAACTAGAACCCAACTGCAACTGCACAGCCGTTCAAACGGCTCTCATCTCATCATCTCATGCCAATGGCTTGGAAAATATCCTTCCGGCAATGTAGGCCTCAGGAAACCAGGAAAAATAGATAAGCGATGTCTTCTGCGAATGATAAACAAGTTTGGAAGAAACTTCATGGTTTCCATGAATATTTCAACAATGTTCATCTACTAGCTCTGATTTTCGTTTGCTTCAGCACAAGGACAGTCAAGTCCATTCATATGGAAGTTTAAGAACTGCAAGGGTCAATGTAGTCTGATGAGGGTAAAATAAGGAACGTGTATTATGATGCCTCTAGGGCCGATAGTCATTGTTTCCAGAATCACAGATAACCTTTCCCTCTTGTCAAACACGTGGTTCTCATATCTCGTATTGCTTCTGGGGGTGCCTTCAGATTTTCACTAAGCATGGTCGCAAATTTTGCTCCAGGTTTGCTCCAGGTTGCCATCATGTCAAGGAAATGACAGGCCAATCCTCACGTTGGGTTTCAAGTCATGGGCCATTGTTTATGAGTACCTTTTCTTTATTGTATGCATTATGAAAAGTGAACGAGGAAAGCGTGAATGCGTGAATCGGCTCTCAAGGAGAGAACCCGACGCGATTCAACAATATGGGAAAACAGAATTATCATGGTATAAACGGCGCTAATGGTAAAGAAGAATCCAGAGAAGTAAATCCAGCAGTGGAAACCCCGATCCCTGGTTCAATGCTCAAGAAACCAGGTTCAAAGTCGTCCGGTTACGATGCTGTAAAGCAGAGGTGTCAAACTCAAATCGGTCGGCGGGCCGCATTCCTTACCCTGCAGATGCCTTCGGACCGCACCCATAAAATTTCACTGAGATTTGTGCTGACACTCAATCCATGCGGAAAATTTCAAAAGCAGACGGCGGGCCGGATCCGGCCCGTAGGCCGTATGTTTGACACCCCTGCTTTAAAGCACCAAGGGTGTGCCTCGAACCCAGCATGTGCTGCAATGTGGTGAACATGTAAGGATCGAAGACAAGTAAACTTTCGCCGCTGCATTTTGCCTCCCTCCATTTGTAGTTCTCATTTGAATGAAGAAGCTTGCATTTGTGCGAGCTTCATGGAGGTTTTCCTTAGAGTTGGTGAAGTAATTCACACAAAATAAAAATTTAATGCTTCAGCTCCCTCCGAAAACAATATATGTTGTGATTAAATATGAATTTTCCGAATGCTCTATGCATTGTTTTATAGCTTGATTGAAAAATATTGCTTTTAAAAATTATAAGCGCTTTCACGTTTCATCTTTGTCCTTTTTGGTGGCGCGTTTTATAAGCAAACTCAGGCTTCACTTTGTTTTAATCTCCTTTCCTCTAGCTTCCCCTCCCCTGGCTTTAGATCAAGCTGACAGCAGCACTCATGATATTTCAATCTTCTTTTGTGGAGGAACCCATTGTTCAGTGGCTGAAAACACTTAAGAACCCACTGCAGAGTTAGTGAAGGTCATTATACAACCTCGCGTGTCGAAATCCGCCTCGTTCCATGGCAAGCTGTGCAACTTTAAATTGTCAGTACACTTCATCGCATTCTGTATTTGTTTAGTCGTGGGAGATCCCCAAAAGACATACCCTTGGATCATGCTGAGTCCATGGGAAATTCCAAACCGTTCAAGACGTCCATTCGAAAACAATTGTGAGAGCACCAAGAAGTAAAGGCGAGAAAAAAAGACAGACTTACTACAGTCTCTCGCATTTTTTGCCTCAAAGATGAATAAAAGGCTGAAAATGGGAGTGAGAGCTCACGGACGTGCATGTTTTCAGTCATGAGTACTTCTAATCATCCAGTCACAGTCTCATCTCACAACTTTACTTGGTTGGTATTGTTGAAAAATAGACTTGAAGGACTGCTCAGGATTGATCCCCTCTTGTTTTTGACTTGGATAATGAAAAATGCAATTTAAAAAAGGGAAAGACTTCATTCCTGACAAATTCCACCAAAGTCAAATCTCACGCACGACCATGGAATGGACGAGCACCAGCACCAACCTGAACAATATTTATCGAGTCCTTTCTAAGGTAACTTCGAATTGATTCCCTGCTCATAAGTTAATGTACTCCATGTTGGACGAATGACACACTTGGAGTTCTATCCCTCGAACCACTGAGCAATGCGATCACTTCTAGTCCATACAATAGGGAAATTGTCAGCATCATCCTCCGCATACCTAAAGAGGGAAGTGTCACTTTTTGAAGAGTCTACCCCCTCGATATGCTTCTCTCCATGGTTCCAGGCTTGGACTGGGGATGGCTCCGCTGTGACAAGGCACTCGTGGGTTCCTGTCAAGACGAAATAACATCAATTCCCTCGTCTCCATACTCATCATTACATGTTCGACAATCAGGAGGGATTCTGCGAGTTACTAGTAAAAGGTGGAGCACAGAATTATCGCTTTCACCTTTTCACCTATCGCTATTAATACTTTAATCGATTAATCGATCGATTAAATTAATTGAATTGACACACCCTACTTAATACATTCCTGTGAATTAAAATATACAATAGAATTACTTGAGACACGCTTGCCACAACTACCCCATACTCAGTAGCTACAATAATTCCAATCCCTTCATTTTATTCGGACCACTGCGGCACGTTGTAATACGTTGTAATTCACGTAATACAAAATGCAGTATTTTCTGAAGAGATGGACAGGAAAAAAAAGGACTTTTACATTGATTGGAAAGGAACCCTCTCGGTATGTCAAGCGACGACAGACAAGTTGAATATATATAATAAGTAGGGCTGCCAATTCGATTAATTTAATCCATCGATTACTCGATTATATTATTATTATATGGTAAAATTATAATAGGAAAATGGGTATTCAGGGGGAGATTAGGGGCCAATTAAAATCAATTAATTTCGACTAAAGTTTTAATCGCTAATAATACTTTAATCGATTAATCGATCGATTAAATTAATCGAATTGACATCCCTAATAATAAGAATATGATTATTCTATTAGAATATGTAGACTGTTGCCACATTCTCCCGGATGTCACGAAGATCCAAGTTCGCCATGTTTCGTGCAAAGGGTGCAGATACTTATCTGAAGGGAGTGTAAACCTCCGGCTTGGGTGTGTCCCAAAAAGGGCTGTGGCGGAAGTCAAGTAAACCCACAATTAGATCGTGATATTCATTACCAATGCGAACAATATTTTTGGAGGTGAAGTTTTCAAGGAAGTTTTTTTTGCGAGCTTGCGTGTGCGTTTGTATGCTCGAACACCAAGGGGGCAGGCGTGACATTTGTAAGGGGTAGCTTGCATCAGACCTCTGTATAGGTCATGGTTTGCAATATAATATATCCCATGATGGAAGGAAATACGTGTTGGGTTTAGGAATGCAAAAAACTATCTCACCAATGCGACGGTTGATAGAGAGCAAGGGGTTGCATTTCTTCGATGTGGTCACCGTTGTCACACAAGACTCGAGCTAAACTCCATTTCCGGATCTCTTCCAATTGAGCTACAGGGAGGCGGAACACAAGTGGAAAGTGAGAGAAAGGAGAAAAAAAAGTTCACGGAACACGTAAAACGTGCCTGAAGTCAAAACATGATGTAACATTTAACTGCTACTCAGTATGATAGACCTTAGATTGGGTTTGATTTGGTATGTGCGATCGTCCCAAGTATCTACTCATTCGATCACGTGAATCAGCGCCCCAGGAGTGCTTTCTCCGCTTTTCGATTCCCACCCCCTATTTAAGCGCACAACCTAGCTTTCGCTGAAATGACGAAACATCACAGTGATTGAAGAGCTGGATCAAGTATTGACCTCAGAGGTAACCATAGTCTTATAGGGGTAACCAAGAGTCTTACAGGAATATCAATGGCACAAAATATATTAAACGACTGCAGAGTAAGCCCGTACTCCCGAAGTCTCACAGGTGGTGATTAGACACGAAGATCAAAATGGACCAGATGCTCATAATCCTCGAGCGCTGATATATGAGTCATGGACTCCTAGCGCACCTGGCAAAAACAGTAAAAAGTCGAACACGAAGCAGAATATAAAATCGAACAGGAAACAACACTTCTCAGAGTCAGAAAATAAAAAATGAAATGAATGCTGTGAAATGCGTTGTTTGAAAGTTTTACGGCTTCTTCTCAATTGCAATAAATAAATTAAAATGCTGCTTTCTCAGGAGCAGATAGGCGAGATGCACTAGTCAGGAATCCCTCCAGTCTGTATGTATTATAATAGTATTAATATGTTAATATTTTCTTGATAGCTTCTTGAAGGGGACTTGGACCGACTTCTTGCCCATATAATTCTGCTGTTGGTGGGCTCACCAATCCCTTTGATATGAGTTGTTCTTGTGGCGCAAGAGCTTTCTTTCATCAGAGACAATATATGTTTCCTCCCCTTCCGGTGAATTTTTGTTTGAGTATCGTTTAGAGAAACTGAATTGGATAAAGTAAAGAAAGTGTCTTTTTTTAAGGAGAGTAGGAAAAAAAGATTTAGAATCGGAGCTGCTTTCCCTGAGGGAACCGAGACCATGACTGTAGAGGAAAATAAAAAAAATTGTTTTGCTGAGATCCTACATCAGATTTTTTTGTTTTGACTTCACTTCTTCAGGAAAAAAAGAACCCAGACCATTTCATTTTTCTTTCTCATGTCGTTTACACGCTATCCACAGGGACGAAATAGCAATCGATCACTATCTGGACCAAATTCCTTTCCCGTTGATTTCCTCCTCCGACGTGACGAACGGCACCGTTAGGCAACCGACCAACCAACCGTTAGGCAAATATCGACGATAAATACTCGAAAGAAAAGTCGCCGCTCGGTCATCAACAGCTTCCACGAAGGTACTATTAGAAATGTTGCGTTTATGATGCACAGCGAAAGGAAATACCCAAGTCAGGATATGATGAATCGTTTGCAAGAGGAAATGAATACAAAAGAACAAACTTTATGAAGTATCGAACAAATCTGAAGTCACTAAGTTTGTTTCCTTTATCGTGTTTGCTTCTTCTTGTATACAAGAGGAAGCTAACACCCAATGATTCCGTAATAATGGAAAAAGTGCTGTTTTCCTGGATCACTTTTCGAGTAAGCAGAAATATGATGCCCTACTGACCTTTCTCAGATATGGGTGCCAGACTACATAATACAGGGGTCAAGGAATAGCTGTTGAAATACCTACCTCCGGGGAGTACTGAAATTGTGATGAAATATGTTCCATTTCACTCCAGGTGCGTTTATGTCGTCATAATCTGGAGTACTAGATTAATTTCGGGCAAATGTTGAATACATTTCATCTCTCTGCTTAGAATTATGATCAAGAATTCGGCAACTTCAACCCTGGAAAATTTCTCCACCTATTAGGGAGTTGAAGCAATCCAAGACCAGTCGCAGATAGAGGATTCAATTCACCCCCACGAAAGAAATTCGCTGAACCATCCAGAAGTTTTGTCAGAAGTGGTTTAGGAAGGAATACGCTATAGACAAGTCAATAGAAACAGTAAACGCCAATCGAGACGTGGGGATGCTAATCCTACTGCCTTATCATTGCATCTTAAATTCCATCGATTTAAAAATGGGCTAAACTGTAAGCGAAGCTGCGAAAGAAGAATGTGAATCCTCAGAAATCTTCACATGTACGACAAATTTATCTTTGCAAGATAATGCTTCCCCGTGGAAAACAGCGTTTTGCGCATTGTTACCCCTTTTTTTAAAATTCTTTTCGCCCAACAGCTGTTCACCTCGCTTTCGGAAAATTGTCTTTAGCTTTCTCAACGTTCCGACTCCAACTCTGATGATGTCGCCATTCGAAGCGAGACTGCGTGAACATTCCATCTAAACTTTCTCCCGGTTCTGCGGTTATTTTTATGCCTATTTGGAGCAGACTGGAAAATCTTAAGGGGTCCATATCATAGCCCACCCACCAATTTAATTCATATCGTGAGCAGACATATGAAGGGTGCAACCCTAGGCATGAGCAAGTTGCACGTCAATTTCGAATCGCATTCCGTTCTCGGACTTTCACTAGTACTCTCACCTCGCCCGCCACCTTTACAAATACAAAATCTAATTACGAAAAGTTGTTTCATTTCTTCGTTTCAACATACTGTCTAGTACCATATTCAAAGAAAATAAGAAGAGAATGAACAATAAATATTCATATATGCTGCAGTAGGGGGGCTGCGTTGCATTGGATTTTGAAAGAGGTCTAATCGGTCAGATGGAGACGAAGGGCCATTTTGAAAGACAAGCATGCATTTCATAGAGCACCTTCATTAAGGATGGAATCTATGTTAGCCTCAATAAAAAATGCATGAATACTAAATGAATACTTTTACTTATTTGTAGTGATGAATGTCTGGATGGATAGATACTCCATATGCTCAAATATCTCAGAACTGTATAGAGTTTATGATGAAAATTGGCATGGAGAAATGCCTAATAATGGAAACGGGAATATGAGCTTAACATTTTAAAATTTGCATTGCTGAAAAAGGCTCAATGGTAAAGCCAAAATCAATTTTAATATTATGATGGAAAACTGTGCCTGCCGAGGTGATCCGCAAGTCAAATGACTGGCTCCGTACTCACCTGCTTTGCAAGGGCCTTCGCTTTTCCTCTGGTCTTTGAACAGGATATAACATCCCTTTCCCAATCACCATGAGACGCCAAAGCGCAGAAATATATCATTCCACATCATCATTTACTGGCTGTGTTGGGCGAGTAATAAAAATATTAAAGTAACTAGTTACTTTCAAGTAATTGCAATTATTTACGATTATGTCACTTTTCTTGGAATATATCCAGCTAACATTACAAGTTACATTTGAGTTAATTATTTTGCCTCTAAATAGTAATAAATAAAATAAAATAATAAATACTGCGTCTTTGGAAAAGGGTTCCAGTTAGTTTACTCTTATATCAACTCCCGGTTTTGTGCGTGCTTCATGTTTTTCTGTGCATTACATCTCAGATTAATTATAAATATAAATAAATAATTGCAGCTAACATATCCTGGGTGTAAAATGTGATCCATCTAAAATTCTTCATGTAATTCCCCATTCCCATCTTTTACCTTCAATGTATCCCTTTTTGGCTTCTCAAGCAGCTTGTCCTGAGCGAAAATTTAATACATGACAGGAACTGACCTTCGGTGAAAGAATGGGAGGTGCCGCCTTCTTCGTACCAAAATCGATCGGCTCGTTTGAATCTAGCAAATTGATCCCCGACGAGGCAGGCGAAAGTAGGTCCAACCAAAGCGTGTCCCAAGGGACGCTCTGCCAGCCCTCCGATGTACAAGTCTATGTCGTCCACATCAGTGTACAAGTGACGGAATTTCTCGATCAGCTGCAAAGGATGAAACAAAGAACGATCAATTCCTAATTCATTTTGCATAATGCATGCTAGCCAACTCGACATAAATTAATCTTAATAAAACTGACCCTGAGTGACTACGAAGCCGTAAATTTATTCTCGAAAATGGGAAAAGCGACTTTAAAGCTAATTTTTTTTCTCGATTTTTTCGTCTTCACAGATGATGGTGAGTGAATGAGAACCTGATCCACGGTTCACACCAGGGAATATCCAGAAATACAAGGACAAGCAGCAACAACTGTCCATGCATTAGATACAGGTCACGTCAAGTCTGATTGCGAAATGATGCTTATTGAATATAAACAATTCGCAACAATCGCGGGCTGTTGACGCGTGGCATTTTATGGCAGTATTCCAGTGAAAGGCCTCGTTTAGCACGTGCAGTATGTGCCACCGTTGAGAAATTGGGGCGGGGTGGGGGGGGGGGGCGTTACCCCATGAACCGCACCGTCTGGATTAAGCCAATTGCAACTTCCATCCGCCCTGCCAGCCGTAAAGGGTTCAAGGGCGGCATTTCAACGGTGACTAGGAGGTGCAACGGGCAGAGCATGTCAATTATGCATGCAATGCAAAAAGCTATTTGCAACGAGGCAGAGGGAACCAGCCTCACCGCAAAGAAAAGCGCACACCAGTCATGAGAGATTAATTAGAAAAGTAATAATGCCTAAATTCATTCGCATATACAAATTTGCTCTTAACCCTCTCGTGGAATATAGTATTAATAATTTGAAAATGTCATCGTTTTGAGCAAAGAGCTACTTCAGCAGAGGCCTCAGTGGAATGGGACAATAAAGAAAGTGGGATCCACTGTCCGTGGCAGTTTTATGGATCTCCTCGGGGAATGTGGGATTGAAAAGCCAGATTTGTCATCACGGGATTTTTCCTTTCGCCGGATGGTGGACTTGAAGCAAGGGGATAATAGCTCCATTCAGAAAAAGGAAAAGGTCAAATTGCCAGTTAGAGGGGGGCATTATAGACGAACGTGCCCGTCTTTTACGCAATGATTCTCTCACGTCAGGTACAGACCGTAGGGGGAATTTTTTTTGTTGGCTATTTCAAGCCGGGCGTGGCACTGCGCCCGGCCTTGTGCTCGCAGCAAAAACGAAAAAAAAGTCTTCCGTGGAGAAATCCCCACATTATCCCCCCTCCTCATTTTGACCTTTCGGATTTGACCACCGTGGGGCAATTTCACCCATACGCCCTGTCATGCTTCCCATCGTGATTTCATCACTTTGAAATCCGGAAATAGACACCCTTGTCCCCGTTCCTTCGCTCACCCTCAGAATCTCACGCTGGTAATAAGATACGCAATTATTGGGCATAGGAATTTGGCCATTTAAAAGTTTAAATTACCAAACTGAAGGCTAATGTCTGCACGTTTGGTCGCACCATTCATCTAGTCGATTGAGGGATTTGGAAATTCAAGTTGACATTTTCACTCTTCAAGCAGTTCTGTTTCTTTTCGCAGTGCTACCCCTCTTGTACAAGGCAAACCTTTATTCAATAAATCTTTCTTGCTAACGGATGCTGTCTCCTGCAGGTTAATTTTTACTTTGGATTGAAATAAAGTTGGACACGGAATTAAATGATAGACCGAGTCCATCGTGCTTCCTTTATGACCAAGCACGTGAAATCGAGCGGGAAAGGATAGCGCAGCGAGCATGCATCCCTACATTCTCGGCATGGCAACATGTAGACAAAAGCCACCACTGCTCTCCCACGGCAGATACTCAAGGCAAGCACCAGCACCTGCACCCAGCACTTTTAATGCAATGCCTTACTGCACTTTCATCCGTCTTCTCGATGAACTCTATCTCAAATTCTCTGGCAAATAAGTGGCTCCCAGGGAACAAACGACAGAATAGGAATTATCTTATTTTGTTTACGATAAGATAGAAGGGCATAACGCATTGTTGGTAGCAAAGTGAGAGAGAGGAACAAGTTTTTATGAGTACCTCTTCTGTATCAATGGAAAAATCAATGAAAATTGTCCAATCGACGGAGATCCTGGCAGGGTGTGCAAGAATTGAGGTCATTTCCTACGGTGACAATAACAAGAAGTAGAGTCGCGATGAGTGGGCACCAACCCGAAATGAGACCTTCACCCCAGCGGGAGAGCCAAATGTCACGGAGCGGAATCCTTTCCGACAGACCGTTATTTTCAAGGCGGTTCGACGTTCATGCCTATTCATCACATTGGCAAGGGCAACGGTAATTTGGTTGAAGGATATTCCTTATCGGTGATCGATTAAATGCGGATAATTGCCTAAAATTGGTCCTTCATCGTGAAAACTTCCGTGACGGGGAATTACTTGAAACCATTATGCTTCTCTTCTCGATGCATCGAGAAACTGAGTTGTCTCCCCTGAAGTTGAAGAGATCCAAGCCACAGAATCCGCATAATTTTTTAAAATTCAGATTTCTAGTCTCGGAGAATTTTCTTGCATGTCCAAGTTTCCGTTCTCCAAAACAACATGACTTTTAAAATATTTTTACGGGTGTGACTATTGAGGGTCTCAGTGTTACATGATTTTAGTTAAGAATCAGTATGGTGTGCTATCGAAATCACATGCAGTTCCGCGTCCTCACCAGTCTGTTGTCTGCACACTTTCACTCCTTGAGTTTTGGTTGCACATAATTTTCATAGGCCTATAGACCGGGCAAGGAAGCAATTAATATTCCCGATTTTCTAAATCTATTGAATGATCTCAGTGATGGCCATGCTAATAAACTTGATATACAAAAGACTCAACTGCAAGGTACTGCCATAAATAGGAATTCGACTTCCGATCGATTACTAAGATGATTTCTTTTAAGAATTTCATGTCTGGAAGGCGGTAAGAAAGTCTCCTTAAAGGCCCAAAGAAGAAACGTCTCAGAGTCTGAAGAAATACGTTGAAATCCGTTTAAATCTTTATTACGCAAATAGAAGGATTATTGCGATTAATGCGGTGAGGCGTTTTCCACTTCGGGGGGCATGAAATCTCGTTTCGACAAGAAAACCATGAGACCGAAACGATTCCGGTGTTCTTGACGCGGGGGAGAACTGGCATTTACTAACGAAGGATGGATTTAAAACACTCACAGGTGGGTCGATGAGGTCGAGTAGCCCGTGGAAATCGTGCACTCTGGGCAGACCACAGAGTTCTCGAAAGAAATTGTAACCAGGGAGGCCATGATCGCGACCTCTCTGGGTATTCAATGCAACCAGGTCGAGGCCAAATGATCTATTTCCCCTGAACAAGAGATTCGACAACTAGAAGAGAAAGGAAAGAAAAAAAGCGGAAAATATTCTTATTCCTTCTTCTCGAATGCTCTCATCGGACAGGGCAGCAGCAAAAAAATAGGAACCTGATTGGTGAAATGGGTGTCGAATTCCTGACTGGGTTGCGAGACCATTCCTCGAAGAAGCCCGTCGAAAGATTCTGGTCGGTACAACTCACTTGGGTTATTCTGGTTTCGAGAGAATTCCAGCTCTCGGAATACGTCTCCGTGGGGTGAGTGCAACCTGGCAAAGAAACCAATACGGAATGCATGGGAGCAAGAAAATGGCGCCATAATCATTGGTTACATTGCTTTTTTAAATAAGGTTTTGGTTTAGCAAACTAATATTTGCGATCAGCCCCATATGAAGGAAACCTTATAACAGATTTTCCCCCGGGTTCCGTTTTGTCATGGAAACCCAAGAAAGTTTATCTTTCCTTGGGTTCAAAAGTCCCTCTTATGCAATTTTCCTCATTTACAGGGCTGGGAGTTCTTGTCTACCGATCGATTTGCAGGAATGAACAGGCAGAATACGTAGTAGATTCAGATATTCAGATATTTTGTGCTTATTCTTCCTGCACCATTAGATAATTGCCTGCTTTCAATTTATTTTAATGAAGAATTGCGACGACGAATACGAACAATCAAAAACCAGTGTTAGTAATGGCGGATGTATGATGGTAAAATTCGATAGGATTCGATGAAACAACGTCCGAGGATGCCAGCGGGGATCCCTCCGGGTGTGAGGTAGCGAGGTTTTTCCCATGAAAACCTCCCGGGGATAGCTGATTACCTCCTCCCTCCCCCCTCCCATGGCAAGAAAGGAACTTACTGCATCCATCCTTGGACGAGGGTGTGTCCAAAACGGTAGGCGGCAGTGGAGAAGACATTCGTCACAGTAGGGTTGATGCTCTCGTTATACTGCTTCGTGTAGCCATGGCGTTGGGGGATGAGATTATATTTGGCCGAGAATTCCGTTCCGAAAACGATTGGCAGGAACTCATTGTAAGTCATGTGTTGAAGAGCCGCTATGTTGATCCTCCTGGCTTGGTGGTACAGGGTTTCATCGTCCCAATGCGGATTCAACTGCTGCAAGGCTTCAGCAAGTCGATTATGCTCCCGATGCCATACGATGTGCAACGATGTCAATTCGATGTTTTCGTTCACACGCGTGTCACCTGTCATAACACCCATATTTTCATCATCCTCATCCTTCAGAGGGATATAGGGCTCCAACAACGTTTATAACAATCAGTGAGGCAGAAACAGAGCGAGACCTATCCCCAGGTGTGTAATCAAGGTCGTCTCGTGATTGATGACCATTTTCATCGACAGTAATTGCAAGGGAGAAAAGAAACAAGGACTAAAAATAGTAGAGTTAGGGAATTCAAACCGGATCGGAAGCAGAGAATGTCCTGACGACCGTCGGAGCACATCCTCATTATCTCGGTATCCAGCGGGAGCATGGCTTGATTGTTCACATTTGTACTCATGAGTCTCCCGTCTCGGAATGCCCTCAGTGTCCTGGCCACGTCGTCACCGGATCCATAGACGGTGGATAAGTCAATCCAACCCGTAACCCCGTTCATCTGCAGCGACAGGAGAGTGGGGGAAATGCGTTACTATGCATGGAAATAGGCCATTTGCACGTCACGGTTGCCATGTTTCGTTCGAAACCGCCTCACCTGATTTCTGATACCGAAATTACATCCTGACCGAGGAGCCGGGAGGGATCGGACGAAAGGCATGCAAGTCTGGCCGAATCGGGAGAAGAAAGGGTCCTTGGGTGGAATGGCGATGGGGTAACAGGCAGGATGGGTGAGGGAACGAGGAAGGAATGTCCCGTTTTGGCAACACATGATTCCAGTCCCGTTCATCATCCTCTCGACAGGAGTGAACGTGATGTCGTGATCCACGAACTGCCCAAATTGCATGAGGAGCAAGGAGATGTTCGGATGAGGACGGTCCACATCCGGCGAGACGGTGATGCTCACCAACCGTACGCTGGGTAGTGGTGCACCTGATACCGACACCCTCGGCGCATCGAAGCCTGTCATAGATACTTCCTTCTTCAGCCTGACCTTCAATGCAGTCATTAGTAACTTCAAAAACCTATACATGGAACAAAAAACTCGAACATTACGGTAGAAAGAAAAAATACGTGGAAAGCGGCAGGAATTCCGTTATTGGGAGTGTCCTCGGACAGGCGAGTAAGGTCAACCACGTAGAACTTTCTCACTCTGACATCACCCATTAATCGTTAGAGAAGGACCTTATATGTTCAATATCAGGCCTGGAAAAACAAGTTTTGGAGTCGGGGACAGTGGTCCATGCTGTGAGCAGTCCCAAGTAAATATCGATAATTATTTTAAAAAATTCATTTGTGCACTTCAATGGATGCGGTTTTAATCATGCGGTGGTTGAGATATAGAAGGCGCAGGAAGGTGGATCCTGCAAAAGTATAGGGGATTCAAGTGACCTCAAGATGTCTCTGACAACGCAAGCAGGATAAACCATTGATACTACGTGACTTAGTACGGCCCGTTATGTGTCCGTTAGCGAAGCAAAACCTCCGCCCTGTTTTCCGCTCGTCAAATTTGAAGTACAGCTCTTAAAAGGATATTAGGGTATGAATGGCTACATGCAACCACTTTAACTGATCAGTTGTCAGAAAGCGATAGTTCTTGTTATTGATTTTTGCAAAATAGTTCCCGCGTATCAGGCAGACTTATCAGTTTTGAATCCAATCAGATTTATTTCCAATTGTATTCCGAATGCTTATGGTATTGATAGTGCCAGAAGATAGAAGGTTCATTTTCAATACGCTAGAGAGAGATAGAGCAATGAGGAGTTGTTTCTACAATAGGTGTCACGCCCGCCTCATTCATTTTTGCAATGTTCGAATTTTTCGTCTCCTTTTACGAGTGAATTGCTTGAAAGGACAGACCATCTTCGTATGCAGGTGGAAGGATTCTCTGAAAAGGAGTCTGTGCGCGACCCCATGCCGGGTTCCTCAGGTTATTGCAACTTCCGTCCAGGCTTCGATAGATGGTCTTCTTGCATCTTGGCGCCTGAGGACACGTGTTGCTGATGAGCGTGTTGGTCACGTTGAAATACGGCAAGCCGTAAATGGCCTGGTCTGCCGACAGCCGCCACCTGCAGAATTTACCCAATCCTTGATCATACTTGCACGATATCGAGACGCTTCGATATTGTCTTATGCTGAAGTCGAGCGGAATTCGAGGACTAAGGCTTCTACAGTATTTTGCCCGAGGATCGAACGACCAGTGAAGAATGCTTTTAAAATGATTCGTTGAAAGCCTATTCACGTTCCGATGCATGAGGAACCTTTGGGAGGAGTATGAGTTACAGTGCTCAGTTCTAGTAAGACTTGTATTAAAATCAAATATGGTGATCCTTTTTCTGACGCTTTAGCGAGGCCTACAGACACGAGGCATCCCACCCGGCTCGATCCATGGCCGCATGACCTCTGGAATGTCAGAAATTAAAGAAGTAATGAAGAATGCAGACCTGCGGACGATGGCTCGGCAGGTCTCGACGTTGCGATTGGCATTGAAGCCCAAGGAGATGGCGTCTGTGTTGGCCCCAAGGTGCTGTTGATGGTACCCAGCTGCCGATCCTCGTCCCTCCACCATTCCCCGTCTGAACAAGTCTCGTTCCATGCGGAGCCGCTTATCGATAGATTCCAGTCCTTCCCTGGTTTGGGGGAAGTCCACAAATTCGACTAGTCCATCCAGTCACAAAGGTAGAATAATAGGAAGGGGGAAAATACGTCTACTTTCTCTTCAAAACGTACTGTACTAGTGCAGACAGTTGATGGAAATACAACTGTAAAGCTGCTCGAAATGTGAAATTGTCATGCTTTAGTTTTTGTCATGTTTTTATTTATTTAATGCATTTGACGGAAACCTGAAGATGCAAGATTTGCTTGATGATTCCACAACTATATGGTACGAGTGCGCCGTCAAGGTTGCAAATGGAATTGCGATGCAGAAATCGTAGAAGGTACAAGGAGTTTGCAGAAGTACCTATAATCGGTTGAACTACAATATCGCAAAACATGGACGATGCACTCTTCAATGCACCAATTGGAATTTCATTACTCTCTTCGCCAAAGCCTGCAATTCGGTTCTTTCCTCTGCAATCGTAGATTTAGAAAGCTCCCCTCGAGGCATATTGTCTCGCACATATAGTCTAACAACAACGATCCCTGCTTGACCGATTTCTCATCTATAGTCGCCTAGTACATGGGTATGCGACAGTAGCCCTCAAATAAACAAGGACCAGTAGAAGTAAAGGAGACAAACAGAGAGAGAGAGAGAGAGAGAGAGAGAAGCCCGAGGCTTGAGGATGGGACCGAGGGGAGTGAAAGTCCTTTTCTTTTTTTACATGGGCAAGGCCAAGGTAACGCGGCCACTGCACGCTTCGATGACTCCCTTGCATTAATCAAATGAAGTCTCTCTGCGCTTTACTGTATCCTCCTTGCGAGCCTGGCATGAATCCAGAAATGACACGGGACTTTGCTGTTTGCATCCGGCTCGCTGTTTGTCTCTTTCGAAAATCTTTCGAAGACATGAAAAATTTCTAAAGTGTTCCACTCCCTTAGAAAGAGGCTCTCTTGACAAGTCAAGCGCGGACTTTCTCGGCTGTAGAAGCAGGAGGTTTCACTCACGTGCAGGCATCATTGAGGTCCTTGAGGCTGAGTTCGGGAAACTTTACGCTGGGAGTGTAACGAGCCGAGATCGACGTCGGTTCGGGTATTGGTTCGAGAGTGTCTCCACCTGTTTTCGGAATAAATGGGGATCGTGCACTCAGTTCACAACATCTGCATGCTACAGGAGGAAAGAGGGAGACCACAATCCGCAACTTTCATATACTAGGCTTATAATTTCCTCATCGTTTCACTTGTCTCATTCGTGATCGAGGGAAAATGTTTTCTCGAAGGCAGATCGACGGGCGTCGTCACTCTCCCTTCCTTTCCCTCAAAGCTGTTATTTACATCGCGTGATCTTTACTCACTTTCTCAAAGATTTTGCAATATACTTTACCAGTTTATCTCTTTCTTATTCTATCGAATTGCTCGCTGTTGACTGATAGGTCTACTGCTTGATACGATGGCGTTTCTTCATCTTTTACTTGGAAATTTTAGACAAAATATTAGGGATTATATGCCGATGTCCATGATCGGAAGATCGGTGAGGGTTCATTAGTAAAAAAAAAAATGCGTTTCCATCTCGGCATTCTCTTCAGCATCTCTACATTTATGCATCTATATGCTGGGAGATCTTCGCTCACGCTACAGAGACATGCTACGAAGAAAACGCTCACATTATGTCTTGTTTCTTTAACCGAAGGTTCTTTAGGCTCGCAATCCCTTTCAGATTAAGAGGATCCGTAATAGAGTGTAATGAAAAATAATCTAACACCTATTCCGCCCCACTGCCATCTTTAATTTTAGTGCAATACTTGCACAGTACAACGGCTCGATACACTTTCTCCGAGGATATGATGTAAAAGATTGACGTGTGAGAGGAAAGCAACGTTTCCCCCTTCCCCTCGCGACGTGGTGGAGCAAAAAGCCGTGAAATATGCCGTAATTAAAGACGATCTCAGTCTTCTTCATGCTCGGCTGGTTCTATCCGCATTTATGTGACTTACTTTTTCTCCCCTTCTCTCTTATTTCTTTCTCTCCCTCTGAACGAGTTCCAGGTCTGGATGGTCTCATGTGAACGCTCCATCGAGCACGCCTCTCAGCTTTACCACCTTACACCTTTTTCCCTCCTCCCAGTCTCAACCAGTCCACGATAACCGGGGACTCTCAATAACTTCTTGAGGTAAATTAATGTTCATATACGAAAAAAGTCCGGAAATATTTTTGAAGGCAATCGACGGAGATCAAGGTCGCATCCACTGCGCGGCACGCACAAGGCCATAGTTCGAGGGGGGAAGGGGGGGGGGGAATAAACGAGTGTCACGTCCGCATGTTGGAGTAATATTTGACGAACCAGAACCTCATAATCCTGAGAGTGGTGATTCCTAAATTATTTCTAATTACCCCTTCAAAAAAGTCTAAAAGGATGTTAAACAAATAATGAAGTATAGAGACAGTTCCCAAAAATGATACACGAATCCATGTGAAAAGGAAAGTGACTAACCCCTCCTTCAGGAGGCAGAAAAAAAAAATAAAAAGAGTTCGAGATGAGGAAATCCTGAGTTGATATAAGACAGAAAGTGAGGAAAGAGAGCCGGACTGCACGCATGAGGATGCATTGAACCGAATCTCGGTCACGTGCAGGCCCCGGTCACTTCTCGTCTATTCACGCTAAAGCCTTTCCTCTTCCTTAGAAGAAAAGAAACACTTTCTTCATCTAATTCCCCCCCCCCCCCCCGTATACCGTCCATACAAGGGTGACTCCCTCCACATCCCGAGAGGCCCATAGGAAGATACGGACGGGTGGTTCGTGATAAAAAAGCCAGGATCCCCGACTCCCCCACAGCCACGACCACGTGAAAGCCTCACGCTTCTTCACCACTTACATTATCTCACCCTTGCGTCAAATTGGCTTATTATAACTTCATCTTTTCTGCTAAAAAATTACACAAGAGAGTTTCTTACCGTCTTCTTAAACACGGGAGTGTACCAACATATTAGCAAGAAACTTTGCTCGGGGGATATGTAAGAATTATCCTCCAGCGAGAATCGTCGGCTTTCACCTCGGCTTGACCTCCTCCTCTTGTTCCCATTTTTTTTTTTGAGAGGATGAATTGAATGCCTGAGGCATGATATCATTCGTTAGTAGGCTAACAATTTTTGGAGATACACCGCATACATGCGGGAGCGACATGCGTTGGGCTGGATGATATGGACCTTGGGTTCCTTTCCCGTGCATTTCCATCTACAAGGAATTGCATATGCTGCGGAATATGAGGCTGGTGCCACATTAAATGTAATGTAGTAAAAAGAAATCAGGGTGGCTTCTAACCAGCCTTGATCCCAATTTGATGTAACTCTGAAACACTGCCTTTTCGCAATATTCTCCTAAGCAGAAATTTGACGATTGAGTTAAAACTGGATTGTTGAACGGTAATTTATCTGTGCGTCCTAAATATGTCATACTTGGGAGCGATTAATTTTTTTTATGAAACAGGACGTTATAGAAAAACTATTTCTTTCTGATTGAGCATTCATATTTCCTTTTTGTTTACCGATTCGGGAAAAGAAAAATATTTCAGGTAGCTTTTTCTTCCCTAATTGTTTCAAACGTGTCAACACCTATTAGATACATAGAGTTTCAGAACGATGAAGGCCCGACTCAATTACATTTCATTCCTAAACATGGCTAACCTACTAATAATTTTTCACTCGATTTTATTTTAGGTGTCTCTGTTGAAGAGACTCGCAGGCTTCTACGCTGCCAGCAGACAACCCTCGCCTGTATCATGAATGGATACGGGCACAGGTGCTAGCTGTCTATACGGGGTTTTTCCACGTGGAGAAGAGAGGAGTAAAAGCAGTCCTGGGTAAACGAAGGAAATGAAAATTATGGGAGAAAGTCGTCTGTGTGCCCTAAACTGCTTCTTAGAAAACTGCTTTACGTCATTGACAATTGAGTGGAGGTCCATCATAGACCACAAAACACATTTAAAAACTCAGCACTTTCTTCCAGAAGAGAAATCATGATAAGAATCGCGTGAAATTCTGTAGATCCTCGTCAGGACTGACACGAAGCTTTTCTTCTTCATAACAATCCAATAATTAATTTGAAAAAAAAATTTCAGGAGCACGAAGAGGTGGCAAAGGATAGAGCAATGCCAAATATGCTTGAAATAATCTTTGTCCTTATGCAAGTGCCCCAACAATTAAATGAAAGTGAACCCTTGGCCATATTGAATCTCACCGGCACGCTTCAGAGGAGTAAGAAATGATCGAGGGTGAAGGTCTATATATCAATCTTCAATAGTGTCACATGGAGTTCACGTATGCGAATGAAGGTGGAATAGAGTGAGTCATGGGAAATTAATACGGAAGACTGGTAAGGCGATTCTGTGAGCTGGTCAGTCTCATCCATCCTATCTGTGAGTCCGGGTCATATCCCCCTTCTCTATTTCTCTCCGTGAATCTCTTTCTCTGCGGTTGCATTACGTTCCTCTATTCTTCACGGACAGAACAGTTTCAAGTTCGTTCACGGGTCTGGGAGCTTCAATGCGGCCTGGGAAAAAAAAACAATGAACTCAGACTGACGGACACTGCCGTTTTCAAGATCGGATCACTCAGATCGCTTTTTTTTCCCACTGTTCCGCATCTGTAACAAGATCACCTATCACCGCATTCGGGAAGGTTGTCATGAAGAGAGCATTATAAGGCTTATGAGTGTCAAAATGAGAATTTGATTTGATGATGCTAATGAGCTAAGGAAGTACCTTATTTGTGGTTGAACATTTCCTATGATAGAAACTCATCACACTTTTCATTTCGGCCATCTCTCCTTTCACCGATCCCAAGTTCATGATGATGATTTGCTTCTATGCTGAAGCCAACTCACAGCATACTAAAAGCATGCAGTTCATTGCGTCCCTTGTTGGCGCGTGAGAGAAAACATGGTTGAGGTGCCATTGCACGAATCTTCGCATCGCATTGCCAATGGAGGTGAAAATGCGTCAAGGCCGAGGGAATTCGAAGTGAGCACGGACTGATGGGAGAAACTCAGTCTTTCACGGTCCCCTTTTTTCCTCTTTCCTTCCTTTTCCCACTCCTTTTTTTCTACACGCTCCATTAAATGTAGACAACCGGATGGAGTGATTCAATCGTTTTGTCGTGGAGAAAGGCGAAATTTCCTTGGATTTCCCAATTATCTCTCTCTGAAGTACTAAAAAATCCTTCTTGCGATCGAATGACCCTGACGGTTATCGTTTACAAGGAAATACCTGCAGCCAGTACACCTGCACGGTTCTGCCTCGTGGACTGTAGCTTTATAATACTCATGAAAGTGGAATTTTTCCTTCCCAGCAGCCGACTTCTTGCGTCAGGGGGGATCCTGGTCGAAGGAACGCGAGTAGATTTCTATTGCGTAAATTAGAAACAAATATTGACTTTTGTGTTCTCTCAGTCTTCTTTTAGAAAATAATAAAGTAAATTAAGCAGCAGCTGAATTCATAGAATACGTCTGTTCCATTTTTCTTATGAAATGCAAGGATTTCATAAAGTAACGTCTATGGACAATTTTTAATCATTGAATCTGATGCGTGTAGATCTTGGAGTAGGCCTATTTGTAGATCTGTAGACCTTGGAATTATATTTATACGCTTATATCAGCCAATACACACGATAAATGGTTGTCAGATTCAGTGAGGAAAAAGTTCCCAGAGATAGTCAGTCACCTTTCAGACACCCTGATAGCATTCAGCAAGGCAGCGTCTAACAACAGGAAGTAAGTATCTAATCACTCGGGAAGCATGCATTTACACAGTTATCAAATTTCAAAGTGGACAAAGAAAGGAAAATCCTCTCCATGTGTCCGAATTTCGAAATGGAGAATATAGTGGCACATGAACGTTCTCGGAAACGTTCAATGTTCACGAATGAGTAGCTTATGGACGCTCAGTTAAGGTGCCGTTTCATCATCTATATCCTATTCTTTATGACATTTCTGATGGAAATTACTCGAAGGTGAAATAGAACGTGCATCTGTGTCAGAGTACTTCAAGTACTGAGTACTTCCAGCTTCTAGTATTGGTGTCTGTCTTAAGTACATCTGTGCTACTTGTTCGGAGCAGCGGGAAAGCCATCTGGCAGTGATTCGAATGAGCAAGTTATGCATGCAGAAAAAGCATAATGCTCTAGATATTGTAGAGCTATTGGAGGCTAGTCCGATGCTATCACCTCGGACATCGAGTAGTGGAATTTTTGCAGTTGCTCCCATTAGTTGAAACATCATAGTTGATCAAATGAGAAATTCGAATCATTGTTCTCTAATCTTTAATTTCTAATCAATTCGAACTCTCGGAACTACGCCTATCTTTTCAGATTCGTGGGCGTGGTTGAAACCACATTGAAATTTGGGGGACGCCACGTGGGGGACGCCTTGTGTCGCCGAATTTGCTCCAACTAATTTCTGGCGAATGTTTTAACTGTAGTCTTTCAAGGCGCGTTTTCTCGGTCAGAATTGCGCCGATATTCCTTTGCAACTTGAATGAGGCTTTAAATGATATCAAGCAAGTCTCTTTTTTCTTCCAAGTTGTACCTCACGTCGGCTATTTTCGCATATTGAGATAAAAAATACAATTTTATTGAATGTATGTGAGAGACCTGGAGGGCACTGGTCAGAAAAGATAAAATAATTTCGTGGAAGAATTGAGAGACATAAAGTATCTGGATTCAAGCATAGGGTTGAATTTGACCTGGCCAAGCTCAGCACGTTCAGACTCGAGATGGACAGGGTCGGATCAAAGTATCTCAACGCGTGTAGCACTTAAAGCAGTGATAAGAAACCTTTTCTTGACTACGGGCCGCAAGTGAACCTTTTAGGTTCCCGGCGGGTCGCGTGTATTTTTTAAATACTGAATTACAAGCTTTATGCCTGCAGAGTACCAAAATAATCCTAAGCCCGGCTTTGTAAACCAGGTAGTAAAATAGTTGATGCTAATGATATGCAAAGAACTAATCTAGAAATTTTCTCATATTTTTACTGGGCAAAATACCAAGCAAGCCGCTTGCTCCGAGAGCAGTGATACACTGACCAAGAAGAAAGCGAGGGGATATTTGCAGCGGAAATATAGCATTTATGTTATATTTATATTTGCTGCCTATAGTCTAGAAGTCAAAACCTTCAACTTTCAGTAGACGTAATAGACTTGTTCCCAGGATGACGGACACGAGTGCTCATTAGCAGCCCTTTTCGCTCAGAATTACAATCTCTTCATGAGATAATTCCTAACAAGTGAAAAATAATGACGATCGTGCTAGTGGAAAAATTGATTGCCCGATAAATCCCACATGCCAGGCCAGTACACCAATACACTTGAGTTTTCAGCTCTTAAAGATTTCGAGAATTTTCTCCTGGAGAAATGATGCATGCGAGTTTGCTTCAAAGAATTTCTCAGGCATTCAAGCCAATACTATAGGACCAGCAGGATTGTCGGATATCTATTAAGAGTACAGTCTTATGTCGTACATTATATCTCGCAAGGAACGTGTCGCATACAAAGATATTCTCGTTAAATTCTCGATTAAAACGATTTTGAAGTTTTTTTTTTCAGAAAGGACACAGTACATGAATATGCAAATAAAAATTAGAGCATGTCCCCCTTGTGGAACTGTAATAGGGCTATAATAGGCCCAAGGGTAAGAATTATTAAACTCCAGCACATGGCCAGGCACAGATGGTCTGAGCTTGAGGAAAAGCAACTGCCCCATCATCAATGCAGATGACATTGCATTGAGACTATGTGATAATGAATACAGGCAGCGTTTCAAGGAAATCCAAAATACCATTGGTTCCGTGTACTTTAAGTTTGATATTGAACCCTTCAAAATGAAATAATCAAAGTTTCTTACAATGGGAATTAGGCTTTTTTTATTTTGGAGGGTGATTGAGAATTGAGGACTGGGGAGAAGATTTCTTTGAATGAATCGCGACATCAGGACGCTCCTGCTAAGTGTTAAGGTGTCGTCACTAATAATGTCTTGAAATACTCAGAAAGCGCAATATTTTCAACACATGAGTTTTGGAAGAAATTTTTCATGGGGAAAGTTCCGGGGTGGTAATACCCATAAAACTGCAGCGTTTCTGGTCAGAGTTAATTGACAATTGCATTCTTTTACTCTAATATTGCTGTTTCCGCTTCCATGGGAGAGAAAGACATTGCCTTTGAAAGCGGGAGAATGCTCTGAAAGATACGAAGGGGGTTTGGTTTCTTGACTAGGAGGAATATGACCTACCACGAGTTCCAGCTGGTAAAGGTTCAAAGTTTAGTTTTCACGTTATCAAAATCAATTAGTTACCTTCGTCATCCGTTTAACAAATTCTTCATTAGAGCATAAGGCATTAAGCACGCTACAAAGGGACAATAGCCTTTCTAATGGTCTAAGTCTTTCTGACTTTGCAAATCGGAAAGACCTTGATGCTGACGTAATTCATATATCTGGTGACAATAGATTCTGGGGAGCCACTACTGACGACATTGTGCGATTGCTACTCCTTTTACCATGGAAATCGACTCCATCAAACCAAACTAACCTTTTGTTTCATAATTCTATGCATGAGTGACGAGGCAAAGTCCATGAAATAAACTGCAATGCAAAATAAAAAGAATTGCTACGCCTGTTTCACAATCGGCATAAATGTCCCCTACAACATTGAGAGTACATTTCTGGATCTGCCAGCAACATGCGAATTCCAGAATATCCAATTGCAAAAGGTCCAGCTTTCGTTCGCTTTAAAAAAAAAAACACCACTATCGGTTATATATGAATTTTGAATTAACATGCTCTAGACTTCGCTGAGTTCATGGATTTTCGTAATATCCGTATTGGTTTTGGCAATAGTCATATAGAGACAGATGCAAGGGGGAAAAAAAAAAACAGAAAACCGAAAGGGGACTCACGAGAACGGAATTTGTCTAGGCAGCAGAGTCCTGGGGAACCGTTTGGAAGGTGACAGGTTGCCCTGGCTATCTCCTCTATGGATTCGTAGTCATTGACGCATCTAACCATTGGGAGACATTCACCGGGTTCACCTCTAGGAGATTTGCAATGACCACCTCCATGATGATAACCCTGATTGGGGTAGCTCGGCTCCAGGAAGTCCGGGTCGGGGACTCGCGATGGGAATGGGAGGAATCTGTCATCGTCTCTTTCATCGTCGTCTTCGTCATCGAGGACATCCCGGAGAGGGAAATCCAGGCTTTGATGAACTTGGGGGATTTTCGGGAAATTTCCGGCACCGGCTCTATGCGGCTTTCCGAAGGTCGTCCAAAGCTTGTAATTCCCCTTCGGAGAAACCGAAGTGAACGAGTCGGATTCGGAGTCGAAGGAGAATCTGGAAGCTGTGGAAGGGAATCGGAAGAAGTCATCGGGGAAATGCCGTTGACGGGATCGTTGAGACCCTCCCAACTTCGTATAAATGACCACCAAGGTCAAGGTTATGGGCAACGTCAATGTTACTCTCATCTCGGCATCACGTGCACACTGCTTCCTGATTTTTCAATTAAATTTCCTCCTTCTCTCATGTGGACCTGGCATTGAAGAGAAGGAAGAAGAAGCATGTCTTCATCATGAACATAACCTTCACGCCCTGAATACTCTGTACGTATCCTGAGTGCATTAGACGTGTGCAATATACTGGGGTCTGCATGTTGCAGACTCATCTTCCTCGAGACGAAGCAGTCTTTACGTCATTGTTCCCGTTTTATCTGCCGTCATGAACGAATGGAGACGAACGATAAACCTCTCTCAGCCCCACAGACTGGAGTCTGGGGATTTAGTGGCGTCATCATTATGGAATAATTCAGACCATGACAGGTAAACGCGATCGAAGTCTGCAAGTATTAGAGGACTGAGCAATCTTCCCGTCATGGCTTCAACTGCTGAGGCCTTCTCATGCTTAGTAAAGATGACAATAAGGATACCATGAAATTCTTTTATGCTACTATTCACGCCTGTTCTACCATGGTATGGTGCTTTCATGAAAAGGACCAATGTAAAATACAGTATTAATAGTATAATGTGCAGGCAAGTTGATTTTTGGGATCTCTTGTGGAAGCGAAAGGAACATAGAAAAAAAGAATTCGAATTAAAAAAAAACTAGCAAAAAGGATGTGCCAAATTCCACGCATTGGAAAAAAACCCAGAAAGATTCAAAGGAAGTGACTTCGCATTAACGCATCCACCCGCTGAAATAACACTCCCAATTTTTTTTCAAGCGTAAGCTTAATATCGAATTGCTGGAATTCACGGCCAGGTAATCGGAAGGGAGAATCTTGCTCTAGATTTCAAAGGATTCGGGCATCTGCGCCAGATAACTGTTTTTTTTTTCTCCACCACACACTTTCCATTGTATTTTTTTGATGCCTTCGAGGCACGACGGACACATTTAGCATCTGTTGTTTTTTAGGGAAGGAAGTCTACATTACTTTCAAGTCCTAAGTAGCGCGACGTATTCCTATTATGTTCCTCCTAAGCTAGGATAGTGAATGCTGCAGAAGTATTCCTGAAATAACCAGTTGTTACTTCCCTTACGAAATAACCCTACAGGATCCTATAAGATTTTTTAAACATAAAAATCTGATTGGATTCCTATAAGAATTCTATAGGATATTTTCATAAGGGTTAGCAGCAGCAAACATTTAAAAATCACAAGTTCCTTCAGGTACAGTAGTAACCGAATTAGTATTCAAAGAACTTTTACTCAAATACCACGTGAGAGATCTCATGGAGACGACAAAGAAAGCACCGGTAGGCAAGGAGCCACATGTATGCACCCAGAAATGCACAAAAAGGAAAGGCGATGTCCGCGGTGAGAAAGGCGTAAGCCACTGAGGAAAGTCACAATTTTAAAGTGACGCGGAGCGAGGTAAGGTTGAGACTGATGCCGCCGTCCCTGCGTCCCACCCTTCTATAAGCTCCGCAAAAATCGCTGGAGGTCACTCTCTCTCTCTCTCTCTCTCACTCCCTCACTCACACTCTCTCCCTCTCCCTCACTCTCGTTCTCTCTCTCTCTCACGTTTGTGCTGGTTATACGAGTTCCATGTCCCAGCTGTCTATGGAAAAAAAAAACGACCTGACCGATCGCCGTTACTCAATTACAATGGGAAAATCGGAGGGAGAGGGGGGCTTACATAAAGAGAAACGGCTGAAGAATTCCATATTTCTTGGATATGGACGCTTTTCATTCGAGGCATTAAAAACAAATCCATTCTCTGACAAATGGCAGGCATAATGGCCTTAGAACGACTTTAAAACCCAGATTGGGAAGCTGAGGTTAGCAAGGACTGTTAGCATATCATAGAAAATAAAAAGCTGGTATTGCAACAGGAATAGAGGAAAGACCACAAACTGGGCCACGCTCGAAGTATAGGAGAGACGATATGAGAGCGGAATATGACGTTCGCAACTTGAGGAACGTCGCTCAAACGAGTGACCCTCCCCTGATCTGAGAGAAAAAAAAGGGGATTTATTTTTCCTTGGCCCTTCGTCCATTAATTCTCGTGACTCTCAGGCGAATGAGAATACACGATTTTTCCCTTTCCCTGTTTCGTCCACGAAGAGGCTTCGTCGCCTGTCACGCACACTTGGCATATGATTGCCGCTTGCGGCTCGGGTCTTATGGTTATGGACTGCAATCCAAGAAACCTGAATTGCACCTGCTATGCATCGGAAAAATCTGCAGTGTTGGAATGCTATTGAAGTAAGAAAAACAGTGACGTGCACGTCAAAAACAGTGAAATTCAAACAGGTTAACCCATTTCAGAACTTGCAAAGCTGTCCCAAATCAAAACGACCGATAATATCACCTTTCCTTCTTGTGAGGCTCGACACAGTTGAAATCCCCGAATAGGGCATGATTTTATCTGACAGGAAAACGTTTATGTATCGGTATTTTAGCCTTTTTGAAGCGCAATGCAAGCAACATTAGTCAAATTATCAAATGGTGGAGTCAATTTCATACAGAACACATTCTAAAGTATGAAGTCATGTTGGTAATAATTTCATTCCAACCGATAAGTACATCCTAGAATATGAAATTTCGAGAATAACAACACTGTAAAGGAGACTCCTTACAAGTACAATGAAACCTCTTGAATCTGTTGACGTGAAGAATGCGAGCTGCAACCATTACTATATCTGAAACAAACTTTGTCTCATCCCTAAGTAGGAACAAAAGCCTGAAGGCCCTGATCAATCCAACTGAGTGGCTATGACTTCTTCAGAGTAGACAACCTACAGTGTTAGCATATCACCGATTATTCCAGCGTAAATCTCGAGGTGATCATTTCTCGGTAAGGCATTGGCCCACGATAAGAAATGACGACCTCGAGACTCTGTTATGTGGGTGAGTTTCAAAATCCTTTTTAAAAAATTAATGACAACAAATCGGTGCCATGAACCCTAACATCAGGTAATAAACTCATTTGAATTCAGGAACAGCCACATTGCCGTACTCCCCTTCGCTTCCACGAACTGGAACGAGTGACGTTACTACTTCGTGGCACCTCGAGTACGTGAAAGTGGGGAAGAGACGAATAGGCGTCTGCATGATGCACAACTAGACATTCATCTGTATTTATGCCTGAGGTATACTCGAGCAAGCAAACGAGAGTATTGCCATCTCGAGGGATTTCAAATGTCAAATGCAGGCGAGGTGCGTTTCATTAAAAACTTTCAAGGCGAACGCAAGAAAGCATGCGCGATAGCCTTGTCGTTTGTCACCCGGACACCAATGTGCACCTTTGCGGAACATACTGTATACGAAAGAGGGTCTGATTGTTTCGTGAGAGTTCGAAATCACTTGAATGACGGTATAACTGAAAGGACGAACTGAGTCACCATGGAAGGCACCAGATTAGCGACCTGGTCGCATATGTGGATTCTTCATGCGCTAACAGATCTGCGAAAGAGGGTAAAATCTTTTAATGGGAGTCCGATTTCGACTTTATGTTAGGTGCATATGCGAACGATCGAGGCTGACGAAGGAATCATGCAAAGCTCTGCATTGCCCACGAACTCGACCACTTTAGAGACTTTGATGACACGAGCATTTAAAAGTGTCCGGAAAAACATCGGGGTTTAACTTTGTAACTACCAGAACCCGGATGGTCGTATGTTTAACTCTTTGTTTCATTTCTTAATTCCCAAAGAATCTCTTCAAAATACTTTGCCAGATCACATGTCTTCATGAAAACACATTGAGTATCGGACTTTAAAGGTTTACAGCGCTGTCTGCACAAATTAATTTTTTAAATGTTAGAGTCTTTTGACACCCAGAACGATAGTTACCGGATTAAAGTGCCATTATGCTCTTATTTATGACGGTGTACCTTTGCAACAGCATGCAATACACTGATGTTCAGAGTTTGTCATGGCTGAGCAGACAGTTCGAAATACCCACTGTCATGAACATTGCACTGTTCGAGCCCATTTTCCACTTATGGGAGTCAGAATTCACTCAAGAAATATCCTAAAGGGAGGGACCGAGGCGGACGACGAAGGACGGAAAGGCACATCGTCTGGAAACGTGACGTTTATGTGCATCGTTGAGGCACGAACTTCGCGAAAGGTACACATGCGAATGTTTCAGACGTACGAGCTTCACGGTAAGACTCATTGTTGAAAAGTTGGCCTAGGACGATGCTGCTTTCACAGATATGCCCAGGAAAGGATACTTTATTCATGGGAACATACCTGTTCCCCAGGAGAAGTACAGAAAATACAGGGAGATACCACAAGTGGCACCAGCTGCTGCTGTTGCTTTGTAGCTCGAAAGTTAGTTTGGTACACCGACATTTGGAGCTACATTTCTGGATAAAACGTTTCCGCTTGGTTAAAGCAGCGCAACAAGCGGAATAATCACTTTCCCATAAACGAGGGGAAAACACACAGAAACCATTGCTCTCCAGATATCTGGAATCCGACTGAATCACGAGATGATCGACACAAATTGCGCATATTTCACTCCCAACATATAGTTTAATGACGAGATTCGACGCTCCGATAGAGTCGGATAACAATCATTTTGCCCTTGAGAACCTCCCTCCCTCGCCCGAAGGAAGAAGCTTTGAGCTTTTGGAACCTTGGAAATTCATTTTTTTCTAAATCCTAATTCCTTTTTTTTCTAAGTGAAGTCAGTGTTTTGTTCCGCTCATCGTTCTGCCTTCCTGCTCGCGAAGAGGAATATATTTTCTTGAACCAGGGAACTCCGTGCGAGGGGAAATAATGAGAGCAACAGGTTGAATGAAGGTCAGAGCTCCATCGAGGGCAACATCCTGTGGCCACACCGTTCTGAATTCGTCTAAAATTCGGGACTCTATCGGAGGGTGGAGCAACCACTCTCTACTAGGTCGTGCATGAAAGGGAAGCTGATGGTGAGAGACCGCAGATGTCGCTTCAAGGTAAAAATAGATTCACGATTTAAGCTTCAAGAGTTGAGTTAGTGATTAATATGTAACAGTTCT